TCCTCTATCTCCTCTTCATGACGGGCGAGCTCATAGGTGAGTCGGGGGCTCTTTTCGCCCTCTCCGGCCCGGGTCCCTCGCAGCCCGCTACGCTGCTTCGGCCTTGGTTTAAAATATTTAACAGGAGAAACCATCTGTCACTGGGAGAGATCGGAGAGATTAGCTGCAAGTTCAGAGAGCGAGAAAGCAAAGTCCGCCTGTATTTTCCATGCAAGAAAAGAACTAAAGAAAAAAAAGAACAAAAAAGAACTTGCAACTTCTCGTACCTGAATCTCATCAGTCCCCCCAAAGAGCATAAATTATGAATTTCTTATATGTCTAATGGCTTTTTATTTCTCCTGTTTTGTAAGTTTGTAAGGTGTTTTAAACAAGGGAGAAATTGCATTTTATTACAGACAAAAATAAAATAGGTTGAATAATTTAATCCTCAGTATTTTTTAATTACTGCCATAAAACCGTGCTGTGTTTGCAGCAAGAGAAGAAAAGGAAAATACAGTTTCTAAGTGCGACGTTTACCATAATAACAAAACTCTACTGTTGAGGGGTATTTGTACTTATTCACCAGATACAGCAATACACTGTTATTCACAAGTTAGAAGACAAATCATGAGCTGTAAGTAACAATCCAGTGGAGAAGCCACTCTTGACAACTTTCTGATGTCCTGCTGTGCTCTGGACTAGCATATGCTCCATCCAGACATCAATGATATGATCAAGGTCAATTAAAATTATAGGTGTTTTAACACTTCCCACTACAACACATAAGAATACCGAGTAGTTGGATCGAATTCTTTGTGGTTTTTGTTAGTACTTGGCAGAAGTGTGGTGGGTTTTCACCTGGAAAGTTGTTTTTATGTAAGCATCTGATTGTTGTTGGTCAGAAGAATGAACCTGGTGCTCAAGTTCATCTTTTATTGCTCCCTCTTAAAGGCATGCTATCATTTGCTATTCAGGTTGAAGAGAACCTGTGCATTATACAGCAGTCTGTACAAAACGACTGTGCTTTATTTAATAGGCTATAGCAGCGTCAGCTTGAAATAAAATTAAATTTGAATAGGATGCATGGCTATCAATGTTATGCCTTCGCCATTATCTAATTATTTTTACAAAGCATAGTATTTATCTTTTAATCTCTGTTCACTTAACAATTTAGTATCCTGTTACCATCTGTCTTTTGGATACGTCCATGCCATTCAGTGCAAGTGTCTGCTTGGTGCTGCTCGGCCTCCTGAAGAATGCTTAAACTGTTACCCACTTTCCCCTGATTTGAAGTAGTTGGGAGCGTTACACAGTGCGAGGACATTGATGTGTTATGTTGAGCCAGGTCCCAAGCAACTAGAACAACTAATTGCTTTTAAATTGCTTTCCTTTTAACATACAAGTCTATATCAGAGCTAATTAGATGAATTACTGGCCATAATTCACCAGGAAAAAAAAAAGTCACAAAAACTTTCTGGAAGTAAAGAACAAAGATGCCTCAGGTGTAGTAACATGGGACCTACATCCTCCTCCTCACCTGTGCAAATTTGATCAGTAATGACTGAAGATCTGATGTTTGTTCCTGTGAAATGAGCTCGTACTCTTGGATCATTTGTCCTAGGACAGTTATGAATTGTATCTTTAAGACAGAAACGTCTACAAGATGAATAGGGAGCAAAATCATTGCTTGAGTACAAATACTAGAGTTTGTCGCACATACATAGAAAAAATCTCTAGGAGAAACGGTCTGTTTTTCAGAGTCCAGAACACTGACTGTATCTGCACCAGTTTTATTTGGGGCCTTATTTCAGGAACATGGGTTAATGGAAAAAAGTGGGTTTGTCCTTCAACATCTCTATGTGTCGCTAGTCCTTAATAACACTGTGTTGTTGTCTAATCCCAGCTGGCAACTAACCCTCCCAGAGTCGCTCCGTCCCTAACCCCTAGTGGGATGGGGGAGAGAATCGGAAGGGTAAAAGTGAGAAAACTCCTGGGTTGAGATAAAGACAACTTAATAGGTAAAGCAAAAGCCACGCAGGCAAGCAAAGCAAAGCAAGGAAATAATTTGCTGCTTCCCATTGACAGGCAGGTGTTCAGCCATCTCCAGGAAAGCAGAGCTCCATCATGTGTAACAGTTACCTGGGAAGACAAATGCCATCACTCCAAACGTCCTCCCTTCCTCCTTCTTCCCCCAGCTTTATATGCTGAGCATGGCATTATATGGTATGGAATAACCCTCTGGTCAGTTGGGGTCAGCTGTCTCAGTTGTGTCCCCTCCCAGCTTCTTGTGCTCCCTGAGCCTACTCCCTACTGGGGTGGGGTGAGAAGCAGAAAAGGCCTTGACTCTGGGTAAGCACTGCCCAGCAGTAACAGAAACACTCCTGAATTATCAACACTGTTTTCAGCACAAATCTGAAACACAGCCCCATACTAGCTACTGGGAAGAAAATTAACTCTATCCCAGCCCAAACCAACACGCACTGCCACAACACATCAGCTCATCAGGCACTTTGCATCAAACCTGTTGCAGGGATCTGGTTGAATGCCTCCCTTTTCCCCTTGGCTCTGTTTTTTTCCTCTGAGACTTTGATTCAGCATGAACTCGGGTAAATTTGATAAGCAACATAGTGTTATATCCCAGATGTAGACATCCTTTAACATGACAGTGATTTTATTTGATTGTATTCCTATCAGAGTTCTGATATACACTGATTTTAGTTAATGTGAAGGGCTGTTGGCAGCTTGATGTTGAAGTCACTAAGAGTGTTATCTGTTGGGGGCTTTGCATCTGATTCATGCTATTGTAGACCTCTCCCTAGGTAGTGCAGGGAGAGCTCTAAAAATAATAGGTGGTGAGAGTAAAAATACTCTCTCATCCCTGTCATGTCATCTGATGTTTCTTCATTACAGCCAGGACTTCTGCAAGCTCAGCTCAGGGTGGTGGATTTGTCTGTAAAAGCATTAATGCTGTAGTGTGGGTTCATCCTCCTCGAGTTTATGTAGGCTGTTACCCACTCTATTTCATTATTTGGGCACTGAGACAGACAGCACTAAGGGCCAGATCTATAAAATATTCAGGCATACAGCTTCCACAGAGAATAAATAGAGAACTTGGGTATCTCTGTACTTTTGTGGATCTTGACCTGAAAGACTTGTCATAGGGCAAGTAATCAGCAGCACAATGAGTAATTAAAGGTGGAGCCCTTAAGTCCTGGGTCAGTGCCCAACCTGTTTGATTTATTTCACTCCAGCCTTGTATTGTGTTCTATCTGGTTGGTTTCAAATTTTGGAACGTTTTCACTTGATCTGTAGCTCAAGTATTTGGGAAACTTCATTTGATCATACGGGACATTTTAACTGACTTCTTTCTATGATCTTTGACAGATTTGAGTTTCTGAGAAAAAGGCAGAAGACCCTATCAGACAATTAATTTGTTCAGTAAAAATCTTCCTGCTGTCTGTTACCAATGTCAAGATGAAGGAAATCTTGTTTCAGCAGCTTTTTTGTGAAGTCTTGATTGGCATATTTTTTCCAAAGTGTAGCCAAGCTCATTACCCCAGTATTTGTTGTTCAATTTGATGAACAGTCAATGTAAAAATCAGATAACAACTTACACTTTGTGGGAACCATTTTGCATCAAGAAATGAAAAACATATTGCGAGTCCTTGTTAGCTTTTTTGACAGGGTTTTGATGTTTTCAGCTATGTTTAGAGATTTCTAATTGATTGTCCATGAGGAGGACTGCTGTCCTTCACGGGTCACTGAAAACAGTGGTAAGCCATCAAGCTGTCTTATTTGTAAAGGTTATAGATGTCTCTTTTTTTCTCCAAGTTGCCAACTGTGTTTAAAGAGCCCTTAGGCAGCACCTCTAACCAAGCAATGAACCGATACATTTGGAAACAGAGAACCTTTGATTTCAGAATTTCATAAATCTTAATTATGTTTTCTTAATCCACATGCTGCATTACGATTAGCTTCAGTACTTGAATTCCTTCTTTATAATTTTATTTTTAAAGTCTTTAAAAGTGAGAGGCTAGCTGAAATAGAATTGACTCATCTTTGAAGTGATTAGCAAAATTAATACATGTGAATTAACATACATACTTTAATGATCACACATGTAAACTACTGAATTGAATGTCCTTAGATGCAAATTATTGTTTCTTCTGTGTTGACTATACAAGAGGCTGAGTTGCACGTGTGTGTCATATTGTTTTAAATTATGTGAGAACACAACTCAGAAAGGAAAGGAATAACTCATTTTACTCAAAAAGCTGCTGAATTGCTTTAAAAAACTCATTATGTTTGAGCTGTGGCAGCCTTTGGAAAATTTCAGCAGGTGTGTACATACAAACACCCGCAGCCCCCCC